CGTGTGTGTATGCGTGTGTATGTGCGTGTGCGTGTGTGCGTTTGTTTCTTTTGCTTTTCCTCAACGTTTTTCTTTTTTTTTTTTTTTTTAGGTTCTGTAATGTTTTTTGTTTTTTTCTTTTTTTTTTTTTTAATCGTCTTTGATGTTGTTTGGCGTTCAGACGTTTCCAAGTAAAAAAAAAATGAAAATTTTCTTCTTCTTCTTCTTCTTCTTATTATTATTATTATTATTATTATTATTATCATCATCATTATTATTATCATTATTATTTTCGCGTGTTGATTCGGCCAAAAAAATAATTTTTTTTTTTTTTTTTGCAAAACTTTCATTTTATCGAAAATAATAATAATGTTTCGATCCGGAGAAGAATCCTGTAAAAAATTTTTTTAAATTTCTTTTCTGGCTTCCGTCCGCTCTTTGCTCTTTCTCTCTCTCTCTCTCTCTCTCTCTTTTTCTCCTCATTTCTCAACAATTTTTAATTTATTAGATTTTTCGCGAAATAAGATTTCGAACCCGATCGAAATTATCATTATTAGTCGATGTTTTTGCTCCCCCAACACCTACACCTTTTCCCGTTAGTTTTTTCCTCTTCCCCTCTCTATCTCTCTCTCTCTCTCTTTCTTTTTCGAAAGTGCCTTAGAAAAAAAAAGAATATTAATAATAATAATAATAATACGAGCGAAGCGAACATTTTGAAATTGTGGTTTTTTCTTTTTTTTTTTTTTTTTTTTGCTCTCGTTGGAAAATTTTCCTTCAAAAAATGGAAAAGGAGGAAAATTTTGTAGGAAGGTAATTAGGGGGGAGGACTTTGGAAAATTTCGTCGTATCGGTTACTTAATAAAAGAAAGAAAAAATAATTGAGTAAATGAATAAATTTTTCACGTCAAAAACAAAACTTTTTCCACTGTCACAACAACAGCAACAAAAAAATATTTTTCGTGTATTCATTCGTTTGTCGACTTGTCAATTTATTCAATCGTGTGCAAAAAAATTATTCGAGCTCCAGTTTTTTTCCCGACAAAAAATATTAATAAAAAAAATTTTTTTCGAATAATGAAAAGTGCTCATTAGGGAGACAGAGAGAGAGAGAAAGAGAGAAAGAGAGAGAAAGAAAAAGAGAAAAAAGATTCTTTTCCGGGTCTTTTCGTGTGGTGAATTCTTTTTTTTTTTTTTTTTTTTTTTTTTTTTTGTTTTAAATAATAATGCGATGCAAATATTTCATAATTTTCTTTTTCCTTGCACTTATCTCTTGGTCCCCCCTTCCTTCCCTCCCACACCTCTCTCCCTCTTTTCCTCCCCTCACTCCAGACAAAGATTTGATTATATTCGACGTTGGAAATTTTTTTTTTTTTTTTTTCACACCCTCTCGGTAGTCGGATATTGATTTTATTTTATTTTCAATTTTTTTTTGGGAGGAAAATTGATAATAATAATAATGATGATAATGATAATGATAATGATTCTGATAATTTTTGATTTTCTAACAGGTTATAATCGTTATTATTATCAGGTGGGGAGGAGAGAGGAGGGAGGAAAAAGGGGGGCGTTTAAAAATCATTTAGTTCGAATCGCGTAAAATAAATATTTCTGCACGCCCTTTTATTATCATTATTATTATTTTTTTTTTCCGGTTAGGAGCTGGGGAGAAAAAGAGAGAGAGAGGGGGGGGTAAAAGGATTTGTATAGGATGCAGAGTTGAAAGAAATGATATAAAGTATAATTGATAAATGATCAATCAATAAACTGCCCTGAAAGTAATAATTTTAAAGTATTCCGGCATTTTGATTTCAGTTTATAAAAAAAAAAAATTTCTCCAGGAAAATGAGAGGTTTGGGGGGCGGGGTGGGGAGAAATTTTTTTCCTTCTTTTCCCGGAGTCAAATTCGAAACGTTTTTTCTTTTTTTCCCCCTCCCCCCGTCCCCTTCCTTCTCATTACCCTT